TATATATGAAAATATTTTTGAAGGTACAAAATTTAATAACAGAAATAAAAGTGTGAAGCTTGATATTACTAGACATTTCTAAAAGCGAAGCAACCGGTTTCGCTCCCGCTTATCAGGCTTCCACGGGAGATGTAACTTAAATTTAAACACTAGAAATTGTGCAATGAGAAGAAAAAAATGATCAGAAGTGCTAGAGACAAATATTTTTTAATGCTCTGGACGTTAGAATTTATATATTATTTTCGTTCGGATATACATATATGGTCTGGAGCCCCTTCTGTTTGCCTCGGGGTTCTTGATAGGCTCCAGAGGCGGATATGCAATATAATTGGCCCTGATCTGGCATCTCGTCTACAGTTACTTTCTCACAGACGCGCCGTCTCCTCTCTTTGTCTGTCTTCATGAATTCAAGTGCCCTACGAGGCTGGCATCCCGCTCTCACCCTTACACTGTAGAAACTTTTAAATGTAGCCGTCTCTTCTACTCCAATAGCTTCATGTCTCGCACCTCTCGCCTGTGGAACACCCTTCCCTATTCCAGTTTCCCTGAGAGCTATAATCTCCAACTATTCAAATGTAATGTCAATCGACATCTCCAGTTGAGTTAATTTCATCTCCATCTATCCACTATCATTCTCCTCATCCTTTCTTCTATCACTCCTATCTGATCTTGCTCCAAATCTTCTATAACCGCTTGCGTCCTAGTGGTTTCGCCTTGCTTGTTTTCAACTATATATATATATATATATATATATATATATATATATATATATATATATATATATATAAAAGAAATATGAATTTTATCGCACATTAATTGCACAACTCCGAGTTTCATGTCGAAGCAATTTTCAATATTTTATTTTTATTTATATTTTGAATTGATAACTGTTTTTTTTTTTTTTTTTTTTAAATTTTCTGGTTCCTACCTATATTATGTTTATACTTATCACTTTACTTCCCCCTTTTTTCCCTTTTTTTTTTTTTTTCTTTCCCCATATTATTCCTGTTGAGTTGATCGATTAAATAGGTCAATGTCTGATCCTTACCCCCACTCCTTCCTCAATATTACGTATTATAATAAAAAGAGATATAAAAATAAATTTTAAAACTCTCCCTTCCCTCTCTAAACTCGACCATGTCTCTCACACCATTCCTCACTACCTTCTATGTTAACTTATATAAGCTTAATACTGCCCGTCAAAAGTGTAAATTTTAAATAAATTTTTCGTTTCAGCTTTTAAAAGTGAAGTCTGAAGATCCATAGAAAAATAAAATTCTCTGGTGAAATAAATTATTACAAATGGAGCCTTAAAGTGGTCTGTTTTTCTTTAAATTATATATATATATATATATATATATATATATATATATATACAGCAGCTTTTCTTTTAAACAACTTTCGTTAAATATTGCAGACAAGGAAAATTTAATTAATTTTTATTTTGTTTTTCCAGCGTCCATATATTATTCCGTTTTCTAGGACAAAGTGAGTACAGAAATGTTCCATAATGTCCATTGTCCCAAGTGCATTTGGCCACTTCTTTAGCCATTTTTAGTGGCTTTTGTTTTTGCTGTTGTTAATTTCTCTTCATGTTATATATATATATATATATATATGTATATATATATACGTACAACAATAACATAAACAATAAGACTTTGAGACACATGTTGAAATTTTTAACAAGAATGTGTATTTTTCTTTTCGTGGATGTTATTGTTATGGTCCAGTTCCTTGTACCACGGTGATAGTCCAAGGTAGAACCAATAACGAAGAACTCGGACACGGATATGGAATAACACAGATATATTACAAACAGGAATATATACAGCGAACTAGAAAGTGTTAATATTTTAATCAGGTTTAGTAGTAATTGTCTGAACGCGACTCTGTTTCGGACTGCCTCTGACTCGACTGACTGACTGACTGACTGACAGACTCCTGACGGACCTCACTCTAGACTTCGGGCTGAACTCCCTGCTTCCTCTTGAGTCGCAATATTTATTACGTATGAAATAGTCCATTCTGTTATTATGGGTAAGGTTCCATAACAGTTATTTACAATATTGTCTTGTGCGTGTTAAAAATGTTCTCAGTGTTATTGTCCCTTGTTTTCTTTAAAAGTTTGGGCTTACTTGTTCTTGCTTGTTCCGAGAATTTCGTTGTTAAGGGAAGCATCTGAAACCGTCGATTTTATGTTTTATGGGGCGATGGTGATACGTCTGTGTTGTTCCTTTTTACTACTCAATCTATTCTACCGCCTTTTCTTGTGGTGGAAGGATCATTTTTATAATGATGAAGTTTCATATTTTAGAACGATAAAATATCATTATCGTCATATATCATCACTAGCTGTGCTGCAGTAGTCAAGGCTAAAGGAGGATATTTTGAAGAGAGCAAAACATAATCATAAAATGCTTTTCTTTCTTTTTCCCATAATAAAATTGTTATGGGATCTTACCCATAATAATAATGGACTATTCCATACTTAATAAATACTGCGCCTCAGGAGTAGGCAAGGGGACCCGCTGACTGGCTGATCGGTTGAACTCTCTGCCTTCGGACGGGGAGGAACCCGAACGAGTCTACGCCGAAGGGCGGAGTCTCTTTCGGGGAGGTAAACCGACCCTGAACCCGTTTATACGGGTTCAATGGGCATATTTTTGGCCGAGCCCACGGGATCGGAGATCCCACGTTAAACCGGCCTTGTGCCACATGATGCCCACGTTTGGGGGGGGTGACTAAATATAGTCAGTAGTTCAAGTCGAGTCAAGGGTCGAGTCAGAGGCAGTCCGAAACAGAGTCGCGTTCAGACAATTACTGCAAGACATTGGAATAGTGATACTGGTCGAGACTACATTGTTCTCTCTACTAAACCTAATTGTTCATACTAACACTTCTACTTCTCTGTATATATTCATGTTGTAATATATCTGTGTTGTTCCATATACGTGTTCGCGTTCATCTTTATTGGTTCTACCTTGGACTATCACCGTGGTACAAGCAACCGGACCATAACAAAAATACTAATAAAAATCATGTCTCCCTTTTTTTAACAATATATAATAATTTCTCTTATTTAAAGTACAAAACAACAACACTTGGGGCCAGTTTAAAAAATTACTAGGAATAGCCTCAAACCTTTGAACTATAGTTCATTCATTATTTATTACCTTGGAGGCAGACGACTACAAACACACGATGCCCAATTCACTACAATTGAGAAAATAGAAAAATTCAGAACAGATAACGTTAGAAAAATTTTAGAAGACAATGAAGATAAGTGGATTCTGCGCCTAAAAACGCTCCATCCAGACGGGTTTAATCACGAATTTAACAACATAGATAGAATTAATATATAACCCCACAAATCAGGCCCTACCCATACGCAGGCCCTACCCATATTTCTCACCCACACAAGACAGACATGCTTGCGGAGGTATTGAGGCCTCACAGTTATACACACACCATACTAATATACACACTTACACACAACATGCTCACTCACTCCCTAAGAACCAAATAACACACACACTTAGCAGAGACACATCCCCTTTCCAGGATCTGTCAAAATGACCAAGGGAATTCACAGCAGCATGAATCCATCCAGCTCTTAACTTAAATAACAACTGAAAAAAGACTGATTGACAAATACAAGGACTGACCAAAATTAATGTTAAAAGAAAAAAAAAGCAAATGAAAACTACAGAAAAAAGTTCATTTTCTCCATCAAGTCATTCATTTCTATAGTTCACTGCTACTAACAAGCAGATTTTTTTCTCCTGATGATGAAGGCCATGCTGGCCGAAACTTGTCGAGGAATCTAATTGAAATAATAAAAACGAAAGAATATTAATATACAACCCAGTGTGTCTGAAGATTTGAATTTTTTAATAATTTTATTGTTCAAAACACACACACACACACACACATACACATATATATATATATATATATATATATATAGAGAGAGAGAGAGAGATAGAAAGGGAGAACGAGAGAGAGAGAAATAGATAGATAGATAATGAACAGTCTGAGATAGATAGATAGATAGATAGATATGAACAGAACAGATAGATAGATAGATAGATAGATAGATAGATAGATAGATAGATAGATAAGGAACAGAATGAGATAGATAGATAGATATGAATAGAATGAGATAGACAGATAGATATGAACAGAATGAAATAGATAGATCGATATATATGAACAGAATGAAAAAGATAGATATGAACAGAATGAGATAGATAGATAGATATGAACAGAATGAAATAGATAGATACATAGATAGATAGATAGATAGATATGAACAGAATAAAAAAGATAGTTATGAACAGAATGGGATAGATAGATAGATAGATAGATAGATAGATAGATAGATAGATAGATAATGAATATATCAATAATGAACATATCGAAATATTCAGGCCGAGAAAGTCGATGACAGTGACTGATTTGTTGCAGAATTTGCAGGAGCAAAATACAGCTTGAGAAACGTGACAAATTCAGTCCTCTCGGCCATCCTAGATATGCAGATGTCATTAAAAAGCCGTTGACCGTCACAAGATTTACTGTGATCCGATATCAAGTCAAGTACGTTGCAAACTCTGTTTATATGCGGATATACAGTTTCCTTCACTAATACTGGAGGCTAAAAATGTTTGTAATAAGTAGCTTTTGTTTTGGAATTTTCTTTATATATATATATATAGATATATAGATAGATATATAGATAGGTATATAGATAGAAAGAATAAAAATGTACAGAATTGTATATAAATATATATAATTCTGTTCATTTTATATATATATATATATATATATATATATATATATATATATATAGAGAGAGAGAGAGAGAGAGATAGATTTGCTCGTACCCTGTTTAAACCCACCACACACAACAAATCCTACCCCAAGAACAAGGATTTGTATTTGGCCGTGGAATCCGAAATGTTTCTCTGAGAGTTGTCTGCGATTTTCATTATATTTGCTCACTGGTGGATGACTAATTTCTTGATAAAGGCCAAAAACAAAAGAGAGAGAGAGAGAGAGAGAGAGAGAGAGAGAAGATAGAGAGAGAGAGAGAGAGACCGCAATTTAAAAAGCCTTTCACCTCCTCTTCCAAGATCACGCCACCTACCCCGCCAAGTAAAATAGGGTTCACCACCCCGGCACCAAGAATTACAAGTGAGATTCCGAACTATTCACCCATCTACTACAGATAGATAGATAGATAGATAATAGATAGATAGATAGGAAATAGATATGAGATAGATAGATAGATAGATAGATAGATAGATAGATAGATAGATATATAGGACAGAATGGGATAGATAGATAGATAGATAGATAGATAGATAGATAGATACGAACAGAATCAGATAGATAGATATATAGGAACAGAATGAGATAGATAGATAGATAGATAGATAGATAGATAGGAACAGAATGAGATAGATATGTAGGAACAGAATTTCTGAGATATTTTTAGATAGATAGATAGATAGATAACAAGATAGGAACAGAATCAGATAGATAGATAGATAGGAACAGAATGAGATAGATATATAGGAACAGAATGAGATAGATAGATAGATAGATAGATAGATAGGAACAGAATGAGATAGATAGATAGATAGATAGATAGATAGATAGATACTGAACATACTGAGAAAGATAATGGACAGAATGAGATAGATAGATAGATAGATAGATAGGAACAGAATGAGATAGATAGATAGATAGATAGATAGATAGATAGCAGACAAACATTCCAAGTCCTGACGCAATCAACTAATATTTACCTTTGCTATTCAAATTAATGTCTGTGTTGCCCTGAAAACCTTTATTTTCGCCAACGAAACTAATGAAGACAAATTGTATCCTTAATTATTTGATCGCCTTCTGTTTGAACTGATCAATTAGAATCAATTGATCGATACTTTCTTCCCCCGCCCCGCATTCCTTCCTGCGGGTTCTTTTTTCATATACTTATCTCTTTAAACGCGCGTTCATTTTATTTGGACACACACATATATATATATATATATATATATATATTATTTAGATAGAAGTTGTAAACGAAATAATAAAAAAGTCAATTCTTTTTCGCCAATAGCGTACACCTATAAATCGATTCACCTTTTTCTTTTCTTTTTTTTCCAAGATCAGTTCAATTTAGTGACTGAATCCTGAGGAGGACTTCGACTTTTATATTTCAAAAGTCCCATTATTTACATTATTCGGACTATCGTCCTCGTTTTTGCCGCCCTATTTATAACAACGTTTCGGCCGTTGTACGCTCCGGCCTTCTTCAGGTGATTGGAATGTCGAAATGAACCCTTTATTTCGCTCAATGGGGTAGACTGTTCTAGTTCCACGCGCCATGTCTAATGGATGTCAGTTGTCAGTTATCTCCTGTTAATTCCCCTCTCCAAGTTCTCCACTGCCTTAACCGGGTATTGAACTCATGCTCTTTGGGTCCTGTCACTGGATCTAACTAACGCCTTTATCCACTGTGCTTGGGTACGCATGGCACAGTGGATAATATATGATATATATATATGTCTATATTTTTGAGATGAGGTATTATTTACACTATTTACATTATTCGTATTATTGTCCACATTTTTGTCGCCATATTTATTACAACGTTTCGGCCGTTGTACGATCCGGCTTTCTTCAGGTGGTTGGAATGTCGAACAGAACCCTTTATTTCGCTCGCTTTCAAAAATCCCATAAATATAATCAAGCAAACGATCTTCCCCCAAGCCCGACGACGACGAGCGAACGAAGACATCGTGATCTCTCCGATATAATAACCGTTCCCGATGTGTCCCCGATGGAGTAACATTTCGAGCTGGATATACAGAAAGATATTAGCAACTCTCGTTCATTCTCTGTATTAACCGAGAAATCGTTTGTTAACCCCCCAAAAAAAAAAACGTGAATAGTACTGGGACAAGAAGCGTCGTATGTAGGGAGAGGAAAACTTGTTCAATCTCATCTCATATAGGTGACCATTAGAGTCGCTTCCTAGAATCATGGGCTTGAAAACCTTTTACCCGCGCGCACACACACACACATAAATGTATATATCTTTTTCTTTTTATGTGCCATGTCCTTTCAGGACGTAGGCGATCATGGCTCTCCACCTCCCTCTACCTCTTGCAGCTCTCAACATGTTCCTTCCCTCTGCTTCCCTCTCATCCACTTGCTTAAGCCCGCTGGGTATGTCACGCTTTGTTTTAAAATTGTCTCTCTTTCCCTCTATTCGACCCGCGAGTATCAGATTCTCCAGGCCCTCCTTTCTCATTATGTGTCCCAGAAACTTCAGCTTCTCATTATGTGTCCCAGAAACTTCAGCTTCTTCCTGATATTAAGTATAAGCCTCCTTCTTGTTTCCATCCTCTCTAAGACCTCATCGTTGGTCACACGCTCGGTCCACGATATCCTTAGCATCCTTCTGTAGAACCACATCTCTGTCGCTTCGAATCTCTTCTTCATCTTTTATTATTGAGCATAAAATAATCGATTTGAAAGAAACAAGTTACGAAGTTCCTCGCAAACAAAGTCCAACGAAAAATTTTTTTTTTTTCGTTGTTGCAGCAAAAAAGAAATCAAATGCGTTAATACGAGTGAAAAGATGGCTACCTTATGCGAGAATCACGTATTTACATTGTTTTATGTATGTGTGTTAATGTGCTGTGTGATTACAGCAGCAGGTAAAGATTCTTTATCTGAAATTCCCAAATCCGAAAGCCTACAAAATCCGAAAGTTTTGCAGGTGCTTACATGATTGCCACAAATGGAAAAAATTCAGAAAGCATTATGAAGGTTCCTTGGTGATGTGCAGTTGTTGTAATTGACCTCATCTGCCTTAGGTGAGGTTCCACAGCCCAGCTACGTAGACTACATTGGCGCCAGTTTTTGTTAGCGATCGTTACAGCAACTTCTTCGTTCGTGGATTACTTAACAGGTGTTTCATACTCAGTAAAGATATTAAAAATGTTCTTTTGTACACGTACAGAAAATACAAAGTAATATTTTTACATGAAATCACAACTTAAAATCCGTGTGAGCATTACATGTCTAGCGTCATTAGCTGTACCTGTAAGTACAATAACTCTATTAAATATTATATAAAACTTCTTTCAAGGTACATGTTATTTATATAAAACTACCTTCATTGTACAACTATAAAGTACAAAATAAAATCTCCACATTTACCTTGATAAAGTCCCTCGAAGGATTAAATGCATTGGCTAAGAACAATTTCCCTTTGTCTTATATATATATATATATATATATATATATATATATATATATATATATATATATATATATATATATATATGAAAATATATATAAAATAGGAAAGAACTGGTTAGGTAGATCCAAAGTTCCTTAGTATTTTAGTTATTATTTTTAAAAATAGTGCTCGATATAAATATAGAGCATAAATATAATTATTTATTAAAAATATGATTCCAACTCGCGACATAAGAGGTCTCATGTTTCAAAACAAGAGCCGAAAACTTCAATATAATTATTTGAATTAAATTGAGTTAAAATAAGCTCTGTTCCATCTTCAAGCGAAATTTTTTTGGAATAACTTATTTCTGAAATTTACGTGTTTTAATAATTGAAATAAAATATTTCCATGGTAACAGCTCGGGCGAATTGTTTGAATTGGGTAGGCGTGTGTTAATAATAAGTATCAGTATAGAGTTACTTTCATAGATGTCAAGTCAGGGTAAGGTGGGGGTGTCTAAATTTGAAACGGAAGATGTATTAACCCTAGTCTGGTATGCGTGTCTATGGAGATTTATTTATTCTATTTTTTTATGATGAAAGGGATTTGTGCATATAAAAAACTGTTGTAACGTTTGTTTTTTGACGACTTCATAAAGGGTTATCTTTTTTGTAGGGTATTTAAACTATTTATTTGGGCTATGGATTATGAAAGGTATTATATTGTATGCTTGTTTTTAGCTAATCATTAAAAGCATAGATTTGATGATGACGACAGAAAACCGTTAACTCATGTCTATTGTTTAATAGATTATTATTACTTAGAAACTTAATAATATGCAGCTTCTCATGGAGGCACAAAGGGCATGGGTCATCCCAAGTTTTACATGTTCTAGTCCTGTTTATAATTTTCCAAACGTGTTCTAGTCCTGTTTATAATTTTCCAATTATATATATATATATATATATATATCAAATGTGTGGCGCAGTTCAGTTTATATTAAAATGAATCATTCATACAAAAAGCAGATTAGTAATGTTAATGATATAAAATAACGAAATCCCTTCGCTAACAAAATTTTAAAGGAGCATTAACCTACAAATCACTCGATGAATGTTATTATCATTGTTTTTTAAAATTATAAACTGTATAAGGTCTTTCTTAAATACGCAAGTACTTTCGACTGTAACATTCCTGTATATATATATATATATATATATATATATATTTCACTAAGTATGGTACGATTTTTTCATTCTTAGTTTTACGCAAAGAATAGGGTGTCGCACTATGCAGAGATAATTTTTTCAAGTGTTTAGAGATCATGAATCATGGGTGGGGGGAGGGCTTCCTAGACTATAGTCAGCGACCAGGGTAGGGGGTTCCACGCGAGGGAATCAATGATCACGTGTTCATGGCTACGGTGAGAATGTAAGTTGGAGGACATTGCCTGTGTTTTGACCTAGAAAGGGATGGGCTCCGTCAGCTCTACTTGCCCAAGAAAACCCAGATATATGGAAGGAAGTGGTATGTTGTTAAGAAGTGATAGCTAACAGAGTACAATAACAAAAGTCGAAAACACATGAAAGAATCAGCTGGGGCCTCACGAGACACTTCCCTTGCAATTGGGAGACTTTCCCGAAAATAGACAATGAGGCCATGCATATGTATGCTAGAATCTTTTTGGTAAGGAGGAAGAAGTGTTATTAAAGAAAATCAAGCTTTCCGACTGAATTCAAAACTCTTCGATTCCATCTTTCTATCAGGGAAACCACATCTCCAGTCAAAGTGTGCTTCGTCAATCAGGCCACGGGAACCAATCATGATAAAGACAAGTTCAATTGCCCACTTAAAGAATACTATATCTTGTTGGGGTTAGGGTTATATAGTCTATATCTGTTTATTTTCGTACCTGAAATGTAAAGAAAGTAATTTTTAAACAATAAATAGATTTTTTTTTAATCTGACGTTTCTTTCTTATTGCGGTAAACGTGTTTGAGTTGACAATCCCGGTGAAATTAATGTCTACCGGTCTAGAGATCGAGAAGTCTTACAAAAGATATATGTGCTTCCCGACAGATATCGAACTTATATTGCCTTTTTACGTCAGGGAAACCGCTTCTTTAGTCGAAATGTACGAGTATATATATATATATGTAATGGAAAACTAGCGTCGAATGATGGAACGTTGCCAAATAAGCTCGTGATAAGAAAAAAAAAACTTACTCAGCTGGGTACTGGTTTTGGCGGCAAGTGCATATCCATATTTTCGAGGTCAAATATTTAAAGTTGCAATAAGTAAATTTCCACGGGTGTTTTTTTTAGTCGTGGGTCTCTCAAGAAGGCCATTCATTCATTACTAGCAGTAGAGCCCGGTGTTGCCTGGGGATGTAACAGTAAGAGATAGATCAAGTATCGACCATCATAATGACTGAAAAATAAAATTGACAAAGATTATTGTTTAAGGTTGACGGACACGCATGTCTTAATTAGTTTTTTTTTTTTTTTAACGAATTGGTCAAACTCAAACAAAAACATTGTTTTCAATCGTTATGAGTCGACCGATTGAATAGTATTTTATTATAAACAATTGTCTTGTAAATGGAATTTTTAAAGCATTCTGAATGTAAAAATAAAGAAAAAAGTGTGCAAGACAATAAAAAACACTACCTGCCAAAAAAAGTGAATTTTGTTGAAATCGGTTGAAAAATGTAGGAAATCCGATCCAATATATAAACAAACAGACACACACACACACACACAACCTGGGTTTTATAATAAGTATGATTATTATGGCACATGATCACGATTCCGATAACCCATAAGGCTCGTTGTGGCACCACATATAGCAGCAATGGTGTGTCTTAGGCAACATATCTTGACGGGTCCCAAATCTCTCCTGGTTGGTTTGAATACAGGGTTTTTTTCCGTCTAGATTGCCATAGGGTCTAGTTTGCCCGTAAGGTGAATCTAACGAACCCGGCTGGAATTAGAACTCGTATCTCAGATTTCTCATCTCGAGGGTCGATTTATGGCACCACCGCTCATCCATATGATAGACTGTGAATCTCGAAGAATAGGAAAACCCTGAAATTCTTTTAGTTTTTATAAAAAACGAAAAAAATAAATAAATAATTTTTCTTTTTCTTTTTGAATACGTCATTTCTGTGAAGTTGTTTGGCAAACACCGCAACAGGCCGTTGTCGACAGAGACGCGTGGAGACCGTCTAACACTTGCCCATTGCATTGTCGTGTTTATACGACTCTGAATAGCCATTCTGAATGGGGGAAGTCAACGCTGTGTATCTGTACGCAGTCAGTGAAGCGTGGTTAATTGAAGTAACAAAATCATCTTTGCGACTTCGAGACGCGCAAACGAATAAATGCAGTTTGAATAATCAATATCATGTGTCCCAGTCGATGTGTTGGAATCTGAGATTGTTTCTTTCCTATCTATCTATCTATCTATCTATCTATCTATCTATCTATCTCAGGCTCTTATCTATCTATCTATCTATCTATCTATCTATCTATCTATCTCTGTTCGTTACCTATCGATTTATCTATCAATAACATTTCAGTTTGTTCGTTATCTATCT